CACATAATACTAATACGACAATATAAGTTTAACTAATGGAAGGGCAGTTTTGGCATTATGTAATGTTTAATTGACGGAATACTAACGTATGGACCCAAGTGTTTATTTTTGAGAGTTTAGGATACTCAAGTGTTGCAATTGAAAGTTCATGGTACCTATCTATCACTATCCCAAAGTAAAGGGTACTTGTATGTAATTTACCATTTTTTTAGCAAAAACAAGTGCCATATTAGTAAAATAGAACCATACATAACAGCAATGCTATAAGTCAATGCTTTCAAAAAATAAAGAAATAGGGTTTTATCTTTTGTGCCCTCATTCCAAATTTGTTGATTTAATTATGCAAAATATAACGGGAAAGGAAATCGGGACTTGCCTCAATTGATGATTGATTGCTTGAATTGTTGAAGTTCTACATTTAACTAATATTTTTTTATCAAAAATAAAAAATAATTAAATCATCAAAAAAGTTGAAAAATCATAATTGAATCTAAGGTGTTTTCTAGGAAGGAACCTGGTGGTGTCATCTCTTATAAGAACATTTAGGTTTTGTTTTTATTTTTTTTTCCAAGTGAATCAAGGGATTGATGGGATATGTTGAGAACTTGAGATCTAAATTTTGCACTCTTGTTTATTGATCTTAAATTAAAAAAAATATCGTTGGATACATCGATGTCGAGGCACTTTAATAAACTAACTAAAATGGCTCAATCGAACATCTCATTGCCCTATATACAATGCTAACAGTAATCAATCCAATTTTTCACTAAGCCATTAAGGAGCTCACAATCTACTTAATAATGGCTCATCCACTAAAAGATAAAAGCAATAAGTCTTTGAATTCAACCACCTCTCTCTCTCTCTCTCGCTCTCTTTGTATTTTAATACAAATTTCGTTCCCACATGGGGTGGGGACTGAGGTGATGTATGCTTAAACCTGCTAGTGGGAAAATGGGACATTGGTCCCACTGACACAATATTATGTGAACTTCTAACTAGCAACATATTTGAACCCGTATATTCTCATTATTACGAGTGATACTCTGTGATCAAGTCCACTACAAGTGTATTAATAATTTCAACCACTTCTTCCTCTTTGATAGATTAATACACACTAGCGGGAATAGTGCAACACACAGGTTAAACAATGAAATATAAAAGATTATTACTTTTTTTAATGTCTTTCATCGTGGCATTATAAATCGATACCACCATTTGACATCATTGCAAATAGGGGTATAAGTGAGTTGAGATACTTGAGCTCAGTTTCCTAAATACTCAAACTTGACTCCAAAATATAATTGAGAGTCGAATAGTTAGTTGAATTGGGTCCAGGCTTTATAATACTTCGCTTGAATTTAATCATGCCTGATTGAGCTTATAATAAAATGTTATTTTTAACATATTTTATATATAATATAATTAATTTTTTATATTAACTTATTCATAATATAAATATATATAAAATTGAGTTTTAAAATATATTTTATTTATAATATTAATTTATTTACAACTTTTAATATTCAGTTATGACTCGAGTTGAGCTCGAGTAGTCCAATACTCAACTAAACTCAACTCGATTACATACCTATATGTGAAGTCCACTAGCCTTACCATAAATGGCTTGGGGTCCCTAAAACTAGGCCTGTGAATGGATCAAATTTGAATCGAATCAGGCTAGATTCGAATTCTAAACCTATTATACAGAACAATATTCAAATTCGATTCGATATTTGACGAATATCGAATGTTTCAATTCGAATTTGATTATTAAATCGAATATCCAATTTGATTTGAATTCGATCGTCGCTATTAGTGATGCTGTCGTTGGTGATGGTGGTTGCTTGGGCAGCAGTGACTGGCGATGCTGAGTCAGTGAGTGGACCGAGAGAGTGAGTGATGGAGGAGAAGAAGAGAGATAACTGACGAGAGAGGGCTGAGGAGAAGCGGAGACGTGGAGGATGAGGGGCGGTGGCCAGTGATGGTGGTTGTTTGGGTGGCGACGATGTTGAGTCTGTGAGTGGACTGAGAGAGTGAGAGATAGAGGAGAGTATGAGAGACGATTGATGAGAGAGACTGAGGAGAGGAGGAGCCGCGAAGGATAAGGGGCGGTGGTCGGTGATGGTGATTGCTCGGGCGGCGTCCGGTGATGGCGAAGTGAGGGACGGAGGGTTAGGGTTAGGGTTTGAAACTTGAAAGTTGAAAGGATGATGGAGACTAGAGAGAGGTAAGGTTCGACCGTTCGAATGTTCTCATTGAGAAATTAGTCATTTCTCATTTCTAATTTCTGAAATTGTTTATTTTATTTTTTTAACCTTCTTTATGTATACATATATATAATCGGATCGGAATTTATCAATTCAAATTCGATCCGATAATTTAACCGGTAAAAAAAATAGTATTAGAATTCGATTCGAATTATCCGAATTCGATTTGATTATGCTGAATCTCGGATTCAAATTTGGATTTTCAAATACCATTTACAGGCTTACCTAAAACTTTGGGAGCATTCCAAAACATGAATATTTTTGTTTTAATTTGTTTTTGGAATTACCACATCAATAAAAAAAACATGTTCAACTCTTTTTTTGCTTTTAAAGAGAAAAAATATCCTATTTTTGTTTAAAAAAACAATTCATGTTTTTGGAACCATCAAAAATAATATTTTTAAAGCAAAAATAAATTTTATAGCATAAAAGTTGTGTGATTTATGGAATATGATATTAAGTAACCAAATGAAAATATTTTTTTGAAACCAGAAATTCAAGAATATGTTTTTGGTTTCAGCCTTGAAAATATATAAAAAAAATGCATATGACATGTTTATGTGTTTTTGTTTTGAGAAACAATCTGTTTTCAAACCAAATATTTTTATTTATTTTTGGAACAAGCAACAAGAAAAACATTTTTCGTGATAGAACACTCCCTTTTATCATCTGATCGCAACCATCATAAACAAACATATAAAGAGAAGTTCTACCATAATTAGTTAGGACTTAAGATGTGCACGAACAAACTTATATAGTGGTTCAATACACAAGCCAACCATTAGGGGTGCTCATTAAAAAAATAACAAAAAAAAATCGAAAAAACTGAACTGAACCAAGAAAAATAAACCAAAAAATGTGGTTAACCAAATCGGTCAATTCAAAAAAGGGGTAAGTATATATGTGTGTATATATATAACCAAAAGATCGAAGAATCAAATCAGTCAAAAACTGAAACCAATTAATCGGTTAACACATGGTGCCAGTTTGGTTTCGGTTCATTGCAAAAACAGCTAGTAACGTTCAAATTCAAAAAAAAAGCCCACAACTAGTGGTGGCAATTGGGCGGGTTGAGTTGGGTTGGGTTGAGCTTCAATCTCGCCCATCTAACCTGCCAACCCATTAGTGACCTAGTTATATAAAATTAAATGGGTTGGGTTCAACCCAAACCCGCCTAACCCATTAATCTTATATTTATGCACTTAAAATAAAAACCAACTCCCTTTAAGTTTGTCATAGCTTTGTAGTAATAGTAGTTGTTATTTGCACACGTAGTGAAGATTCAAATCACATTATATGCATATTATTTTTACAATGAGAATAGAAGGCAATTTATCACTTAAAGCCATTTAAACGTTCAAGTTTCGGGTTTGACTGAACAACTTAGGTTCAATCTGGTCAGACCAACTTGAACTATCTAACTAGGTTTGTCTTTGACCTAATCACATCAAGAGTGATTGAACCGTTTGGATTCAGAGCGGTTCAGTTGGACCAGACCGATTTAATCAAAATGACAGGTTGCACTAGGCTGGTCCATATCAGGTTGTGCATGGGTTTAGGATCGAGCCGACCGATCTGAACTGATCAAGGCAAGTAGGCCAGTATTGTCCAAATACGGGTTAGGTCGATTACACGAACTCGGTTCGAGCTGATTGATCTGAATTGGGTTAAAGCGAGTAGACCAAGTTGATTATGGTCGAATCGATTTGGGTCGTACAGGCTTGAACAGTCGTCGTTCCAAACCGGGTTAAAATGAGTAGACCAAGTTGATTCGAGTCTGACATACTAGTTTGGATATGGGTCGGGTCAATTCATCTAAAACCAATTTGAATCCTAGTATGTTTAGATTGGTCTAGTATAGATCGAGCTAGGTCGAACTGGATTGACTGACCCAAATGGGTCGAGTTGAGGTGATCGGGTTTGTTCATATTCAAACTGGGCTGAACTAATCCAAATTGGTTTGGACTTAGGTCGGGTTAATTTGGATTTATGTTGATTTGGGTGAAGTATGCTAATTACAAGCAAAACTAATTTTACTTAATAATTAAGGAATGAAGGCAATTTAAAAAATGACTAAGGAATTCATACTTGTATCTTTAGTGGTTAAGCCAATAGTTATCCAACCTAATCCGACCCATTTAAATGGACCTAATATGTGATTAACCCATTTTCAAGCCGTTGGACAGATTACGTGAGAAATTGCCACCCCCACACCAACGGAAAAACTTTAGCTGTTGGGGGCCAAGGCTGTTGAGACAGTTTTTGGCTAATTATATCTCAATTTATTTTTGACTAAATACGAAAGCATGAGAGTGAACAAGTGAACTGCCCACATGATCCGTACAATCATCAATTCCGGTTTCTGACGTGTTTATTTTGGATTGGTTTCGTAGCCCGTTGTAACGCGTTTGTTTGTACTAGATCTCAAGTCTAATCTAACGTCTTGAAGTACGAATCAAGTTCTTTCCGCGGAGTATCGTATCATGGCCCACAGAAATTACCAAGCTTATCACTATCATCAGCACTCCATTTATTCTTAGGACGAACTATATACTGCCACGTTTTATTTAACGGAAAGAAAACGGCAAAACATTAGAAACCTTAAAATATAATAAATAATTGACAGTAAAATCATTTTAAGCGGCTAGAGAAAATTCAGACCGTTGGATTCTTTTCCGTTTAATACGATGAGGCGGCTATTCTTGTATTTCTTTCCCCGCAAGTAACGACAGATGGTCCACGGCTGCCGACCTACGAACCGTTACCAATCTCGGGTATTAACGGCGTCAACGCCCTTCACTGTTCTTCGTTTTCGCGAGAAAGAGAGGGTTTCAGACTAAACGAGCCGGAGATCCCCCCTTCTCATGAAAATCGTCGAAAACCAGCTTTAATGCTTTAAAAGGTGAGAATTTTATCGTGTTTATGGAAAAGTTTTTCTTTATTCGAGGAATTTTAAGTTTTTCTTGCTATTTTTTCTGTTTATTAGGTCTAGGTTTCAGGGTTTTCTCATTATTTTTTGGATTTGACTTCATCCCGTGCTGATTATTTTTTTTAGTTTTTTGATCAATGCTTTTATTTTCATCTGAATCTATGTCCCATATGAGAATTTGATCGAATGCCAGTTTGTTTTGTTTTGTTCTTTTTTGGGCTTCTGTAATTCTTCTTGAGTTTTTGTCCGATCTAATTAAAATCTCCTTTTTCTACGTCAAAATTTTGACAACTTTACCTTATTTCCTCTTTTCCCTTTGTTTCTATGAATTTTTTTACTGGGTTCAGTTGAAGTTCCATTTCGTTTAGTCGTGGTTTTATTAGTTGATTGTGTATTTTGGAGTAAGTAGTTAAGCCTAGTTCTGAGTAACGTTTCTGGTGGTTTAATTTTATGTTTACATTCTAATTTTATTGAAAGGATTGGACTTTTTTTGAGACCAAATAACATGGCCATGGTTTTTGTCCATTTATTTGTATTTTGATAGCTGTATTGACTCTTCTGTTTTGATATAAGCTGCATGGTTATCTCCTGGAACATCGTTCCGTCGTTTTCTTGTAAAGATCTTTTGGTTTGTTCTTGAACTCTATTTAGCAAGAGAGCTGTTTGGTACTTGTGCGATTGAAGAGGAACTTTACTTTGGTCGATTTTATTGAGGTCAGGGAAAAAAGAAAAAAAACCGTTGTGCAAAATGACCGCTGGTAGTAGAATTTGGTATGTTCTTGTACCTGCACAATAATCTCTTAATAGGATCTTGCAGTGATTGGCAAAATCTATTTGTTATGTTTCCTATCTCATCAATGCACGTTATCTGAACGGTGATTTAAATAGTTATTCTGATAATTTTTGGATGAAGGGTTTCTGTCCAAAATCCAAATTACTTGCAAAACCCTCAGAAAAGCCTTTTCCTAATAATCACAATTAACACTTGAAGTGAGGACGAAGCAAGGCTTAATATCATGTAATGCCTCGTCCAACATCTGATACAACACTCAAACATTGAAGTCCTTATCCTTGGTTATTAAGAGGTAACTTAGAGAATGATGGCTGAGCACTGACAATAATGTTGTACTTTGTATTCCTGTTTTTTCCTGGAAGTGTAACAATTCATGGTAATGTGCTTGCTCATTTGTTATGTAGATTTGAGTCTTATTTGATCTACACGAACCAGATGAGCTTCTCCATTGCTCCTATTTATAGACATTAATTTGCTGTTACACCAAGCAGTGGCCCCTTTGGCATCTTTTCAAAGGGGATAAAGAAGTAGAGTCTTCCTTGTGCAACTCCATGGGCCATTATGAATGTTAAGATCAAAACCAGATACAGACGGGCAAAGCTTATCTTAAAAGCAGACTACAAAAATTCACAAGGCTATACATCCTTAACAAACCATTAAATAATTGTAAAAGAGGTTCTTTTGACATCCTCTAACTCTGGTTAAGCTATAACTTTTGTGCATCCTTGGGACTAAACCTTTTTTTACATAGCCACCCATAATTTGTCTTTCCATCAATGATCTTTCTATTCCTTTCTAATAATCTAACATACTTCAAATGGAATGGAGTTCCTGAAAATGTTTGCTTTGTGGCTGCCCACATATGAAGGTCATGAAGAAATATTTTATATGTGGTTGAACCATACCTTTTGTCTTCTAAAATGAGAAAAAAAAAGAGGACCTAATGCATATTATCTTACAAGAAATGAACAAATGGTGATATGCTATCTGAAGGTAGAAGCCATGCAGATGCTTCTCTGATTGGAATATGGCTGTTCTAAGGCTGCAAGCAGTATCTAATAAATCTATCAAAAAACGGTATCTGTTTGTTCAAATTTGACCTGGTTAAGGATGACCTGAATTTATCTGTTTGTAAGATAATATGCACTTAAAATTTATTTTGTATTTATTAGTAAAGTCGGTTGGATCATTTGGGGTGAAAAAACTCCTGTATATTTGAAAACAAGGCAAGCTCAGTTAATGTTTTGCTCAGACAGCTAAAAGGAGCCCTATGTGCTGCCGAATGATAATTTCCTCCTTATGTTTGTATTCACTTTTTCCTTGTATGATCACCCTCCATTTATGGAAACTTAGGGATTCTAAACTAATATTTTTTAATATCCGAGCAATTGCATGCATTTGTTGTTTATTCTTATGATCAACTTGTATCCTTTTTCTTGATTGTAATATAAAGAATCTTGATCCTTTGTTTCCTTCATCATTGTTATGTTCCATGTGAAATATGTACAAAGATGTCCTCTAACTTCTTATGATCGGCAGGGCCTCTTTATACTCTCTGGCAATGGTCATGATGCAGAAAAAATAAGAACAGTAAAATTTTGTCATCTTTGGACTTCTTGGAGGCAAATTTGTTGATAGTGATTGATACTGTATATAAACATGGAAGTCAAGAACGCAAAGGTATCGGATAATGGGCGTAGAATTGTGGTAGATCTGAAGAGAAAAAGGGCATCTCACTGTGTAGCATATTTTGCTGAACCTGCTCTGGCAGTGGTGGGTCGGAGACCCACCTTGAACTCGCAATCTAACAAGCTATGCAAACGAGTCAGATCATTTGGCAGCAAGAACAGTTGCAAGTCTCGTTTCAGGAAATCTCTGCTGAAAAACTACTCAAATTTTATGAAGAGTGGGCCAATTCAACGTTTAATGTTCTATCAGAATGATGAATGGACTGATTTCCCTGTGGAACTTCTTGCATTAATAAGAGAAGATTTCCAGAGAAAGAAGGTTGCTATTGAGGTGGAGTTCAATGACCATCACTCACTTATGGATTTTTTCCACATGATTGAGGTTGATCTGAAAACAGGTGTACAAAAACCCATCGCTTGGATTGATGAAGCAGGTAATTGTTTGTTTCCGGAATTGCTTTCTGGTGATATGGAAGTAAATGCAAATTTTCAACCTGATTTGGAGAATGAACAGAGAATTTTATATCAAGAGCCAAATGGGACCCGTGAACTCAAGTTGCAACTTGAAATTGAAATTACTGGAGCTGATAGCTTGGGTCTGGAAGAAGGTACTGAAGAATCAAATACTCATGTAAAGCGACTTAAAGTTGAAGAAAAACCTGTTATAAGGCATTATGAGCTTGAACAACATGATAGCAGTGATGCAAAATCAGAAGCAAAAATTGAACGCTTTGGAGAAAATAAGCAATTGGTTGAAATTTCTCCTTCACAAAATCCTGTGTATGAAGCAATGCATGGAGAGTTGTCTAATGATATTGTGCAACACACGTTCCTTATGGGTATGGGTTCGATGATTGATGCAAAGGACGTACTTGAGGTTTATCATTGCTCAAGTAGTATTTCACAGGTTCGATTTGAGCTTTTCCAGAAGCAGCTTGAAATCACAAAGAAGTATCGTGGTGAAGCAAATGTTCGATTTGCTTGGCTTGCTTCCTCTAGAGAGGCAGTGTCTAGGATTATGGTGCATGGGATTGGTATAAATGGACTGCCTAAGCATAAGCCTGTATATGGTATTGGTGTTCATCTTTCATCAGCAAATTATTCACTTATCAGGTGGAAATTCAGTTTTGGAGCGATTAACTTTTTTGTTTATATGAAAATTATAAATGTGCAATTAATATTTGTCAATTCCACTACTATTAGGAAAAAAGAGAAAAAANTGCAATTAATATTTGTCAATTCCACTACTATTAGGAAAAAAGAGAAAAAAAAATTAAATTGCTAAGTGGAAGTTAAAGGTAGTACAATGAACTAGTGATATAGATGCTCATTTTCTTGGGAGTGTAACTAAGGTAGACATATTTGGTAGCTATCAGTCAGCCACTTATGTTTTGGGTTCTTTGCTATATTTATTGATGGGAAGTTATTGTGGATTAATTTTCTAATTTTAAATCATTTTTCAATCTATGGTAATCTGAGTTAGAACTGCTGAAGCTGTTGAAATGGGGTTAACCCTCACATCAGCACATTTGTGGGAAATGTGTTAATAGATAGAAGAGCCATTTAATAACTGCTAAAATAGATGCTGGAAACATAATAAGGAATAAAAAAGACCTAAATCCAGGGTTATTGTTGGTATACGATAAAACTTTTTGGGGTAAAACAATCATCCCAACGCCCAATACCCGTGCTTCATCATTCAGCAATTAAGTAGCTCTCAAATTGCTAAAATGCTGAATGAGACATTATTAAAATTTGGAATCTTTTAGCATTCCACTTTCAACTCTCATTTGAGCAGTATCAGATGCAACCTTACTCTTGAATTCTCAAACATAGTTTTCATCTATGTTTTCTAAATTTATTGATAATGTGGTTGCGGAGGATAATTGACTTTCCTCCCTCTCTTTCTCTTTCTTTTTCAGTGCAAATTATTGTGATGTTGACGAAAATGGGGTACAACATATGATGTTTTGTCGTGTTATAATGGGGAACATGGAGCTTGTTCATCCTGGATCTGAGCAGTTCCATCCTAGTAGCGAAAACTTTGACAATGGCGTAGACGATCTTGAAAATCCAAGTCAGTATACTGTGTGGAGCATGAATGCGAACACTCACATCTATCCAGAGTATGTTGTTTGTTTTAGGATGCCTCCCAGTGTTAAAGGTGATTCTTTTTTTCCTTTGTATTTCAATTTATTTCTTGATGGAATACCTTGTTTTCTAGGAATTTTTGAGGAGGATGATCTAGAACACTATGTCATACAACATTATAAATGACCCATCAGCTCAATATGGGTTACTTTGTTTTGTTTGGAATATGCACTATAGATGGATTAACTATACCCATAAGACTTATATAAGTACATGTATGGTTAATTATCTAGGTACATATTGGTTAAAATTTTCAGTTATAAGCTGTATCTATATCTCATCTAAGATTTGCTACATTTGAACTATATGTATTGATGAGTTAGGAGGGAAGCTATTTACCACATAGATATTCAAATATTGCCATCTCTCTCTCTCTCTGGTTAAATTGATTTTTTTTGTTATGTATGTATGTTATGTATACCTTGTTTCCTAGGAACTTTGTGGAGGATGATCCAGAACACTATACCATACAACATTATAAATGACCCATCATCTCGATATGGGTTACTTTGTTTTGCTTGGAGGAGCATGCACTGAAAATATTGTTGCCTATAGATGGATTAACTACTCTTAAGACATTGACAAGTACTTGTATGGTTAATTGGTTAGGTAGATATTGGTTAACTTTTCAGCTACAAGTCTGTATCTATGGCTCATCCAAGAGGTGCTATTACCTTAACTATATGGATCAATGAGTTTAGGAGCTATTTACCACATGGGTTATACAAATATTGGCATATCTTTTCTTTTTCTTTTTCTTTTTTTTGTTTATGTGTGTGTGTGTGTGTGTCTTTGACCACTGGTATACATTAATGTTCCTACAGGTCATGCTGTTGGAAATGAGAGGCAGAGCAAATATGATGTGTCTGGTGAAACAAATTCTACTTGTTGTCAAGTTCAAATGCAAATCGGCTCCTCTCCACTTAATTCTGTAAGCATATTCTTAGAATCTCTCTCACTCTCTCACCCCCTCCTCCGCATATCTATCTATACCAGTTTACATGCACCTTTACTTGTTGCATGGTGCATTGTGCAGAAATACTAGTTTGATGGACTTTAGTTCCCATATTTTGACTGGTTATCCACTTTTAATAGGAAGGATGTGGTCTCCTAAAACTAAAGATTGCTTTCTTGGAGCTGAAAATATTAAACCAGTTTAGCAAAAGATTAATTATTGAAATTTGAAAGTGGGACTAACTTGTCCTTACCTTAGAAGATTGGGCTAGGGTTATTGGTAGAAACAGGGGAACTCATATATATAGGTCAGGTGGGTGGATCGTTTGATCTGGATAGACTTGGTTGCTTTTGGTTGGTCCTAATTGCAGTGTAGAGACAGATCACTGTTTTAAAACCCACAGGCTGAACTGATTTTCCTTCTGGGTGGATGGGTTACCATTCTGTCATTTGGTCTGTGGGTCAACCTGTAACATCCTGATAATAACAAACTCCCCAAAAAATATAAAAAAACCTGATAACCTGGTAAATGGGTTGTTGATTTGGCCAGTGGTTAAATTATCTGGGTGACAAGTCATTGACCAAGTCAACAGTTCTCTTGTAATATGACAAGTTAGATGTTGACCTGATCTGGAGTTGTTACTGGGACACTGGAGCGCCAGTCTGATTGGCTTGGTCAATGATGGATTGAAAGCATTACTTGGGAATTTTGAGTTTTACTTTCTGTGAAGTTTTCATGTTTTTCATTTTAATATTTCACTCTTTCCTCAGGCGGTATACCATAATTCATTTGGAGATTCAGTAAAGAGATCTCAGGACAAGGCTCCTGTCTTTGATTCGAGCATTTCAAAGACTCCCAAATCCCCCTGGATGCCTTTTCCCATGTTGTTTGATGCTATTTCAAATAAAGTGCCTGCTAATGATATGTTGCTAGTTAATAAGCATTATGACCTATTTAGGGTATGTCTTCGAACTATTTAGATTATTTTATTTTCCTCAGCTTGATAATTTTCTGATGTCTCTTTCTCTTCTCTTTTTTTGGTATATATTATCAGCACAAAATGATTAATCGGGATGATTTTGTTAAGAAGTTGAGGTTGATAGTTGGGGACACAGTACTCAGATCCACGATAACAAGCCTTCAGTGCAAGGTAATCCTATTCATTCTGTTGTTTTATATTCCAATTCCCAACCCTTGGTTCATGTATTTTCTGCATGTTACTTTAATTATAATCTACACCTATAGTCTGGTTTTGTGGTTGTAAACCAGTAATTACCATCTATAAATAGGTATTTACATGCATTTCACATACAAAGTAGTTGGGTCCTCCACTTGCAGGATACCTCATTCAATGGGTATAACCAAAATGTGTTACTGGATTGACTGAAATGGTGAACTCTATCTCCAAAGAAGGTGCAGGTTTGGGTGGTCATGTCAGGATTATTCTAGTTGCTGGAATGGGCTATAGCATCTAGTTGGGATCCATTAAATGGTTGTTCCTGACAATTGCATTATCCCATTTGTTGAAGTGTTCTATTGGTGAACTATGATGATATGTACACCTTTAGATGATGCCCATAAAATTTTAGGTCCTGTTTGCTTACCGCTAAATGGTGGGCGGGGGGGGGGGGGAGTTGGTCAATGGGTATCTTTTTCCCATTGATCAACTTTACAATGTTCTTTTTGCATTTATTAGTGGGTCCCACACTAAAAACAGCTCCATTTGTTGTTCCTGACAATTGCATTATCCCATTTGTTGAAGTGTTCTATTGGTGAACTATGATATACACCTTTTAGATGATGCTCATAAAATTTTAGGCCCCGTTCGTTTACCGCTAAATAGGGGGGAGTTAGTAGTGGGCCCCACGGTAAAAGCAGCTCCACTTCCCCGGGTAAAACTTGCCCATCTCCCAAGTGGGTAAGTAACTTTCCCTCTTGAGGGGAAATTTTATAAAACATAATGGGACAACTTTGCCCATTTTAATAATAACTTTTTATGGATAAAATATCATTCAGTTACTTACCTGGGAATAAAAATAACATGGGTAAATGAATTTACCCAGGAAATATTTACTTGGGTAAGTGCACTTATCCGGGTAAGTTACAAAGTTGTAAACAAATGAGGCCTTAGAGTATCTAGTTCATTGGTGATTAAACTAACATGATAAGTTCATTGTAGGGGGACTAACATCGGGCTTTGGGTCAACTTACCTGGATCAATCTTGTGTGGACAGTAGAATTTGGAAACCTTCCCCTTCTAGTGTGTTCACTTGCTCTTCCTTTTTTTATATCCTCATTCAATCATCAAACCCTGTAAAGAGCTTTCCTTCAAAGGAGAGTTGGTGTCAACCTGTACCCCCAAAAGTTCGGGCTTTTGGGAGGTGTTTATCCAAAAAATCAATACTCTAGATATGTTGCAAAGAAAAAGGCCAAATGTTTGCCTATCACCCCGTGTTTGTAGCCTCTACTTGGGATCTGGTGAGACGATCACACACCTATTGATTTCTTGTCCATTTGTATGCTTTATTTGGATTTGGTTCTCTTCTATCTTTGGTTGTAGGTGGACACCTCCCCCAGATGTGGCAAGCCTTTTTGACCCAAGCTTTTTTAGGCAACCGAAGAGGCGTGGAAGATTAATGTGGAGAGCCACAAGAGCAGCTATCTTATGGTCAGTTTGGGAAGAAAGGAATAATAGAATCTTTAAAGGCGTGGAGAAATCCAAGGAGGCAATTTTAGAAAGGATAATTATTATGATTATTCATTGGTTGAAAACTTTGGATTTGTTTAAAGACTTCTCAGCTGAAGACATTTACAAGAATTGGGAAGTGGTGGCTTCTACAACTTCCATGAAACTTATTGTGCAGGAATTGTGGTCCCCACCAACACAACAAAGAGTGAAATTGAACTTTGATGGGAGTTCAAGAGGTAACCCGGGCCCTTCAGGTATAAGAGTTTTCAGAGATGAAAATGGCGGAATTGTGGCCTTGTTTTCAGGATCAATAGGAGTCGGGGACTCATTGAGAGAGGAGGTGATGGCCTTACTTCAAGGTGTAAGATATGCAAAACAGTTGGGGTTACACCAAATTGAGATTGAGGAAGACTCTAAATTGTTGATTGAGTGGTTGCAATCTGGTAAGTTGAGAGCTTGGATTTATAGACTGCCCATAAGGGAAATCCACAATATAACAAGGGAGATTGGTGCATGCTTCAAATGGTCAAGGAGATCAGCTAATGGTTTAGCTGACACGTTGGCTAAACAAGGGACTGTGAGGGAGAGTATGTTCTGGGCAGTTTTGTAAGAAAGATAACTGGGGGCTCAACACCTACTTGGGGGTTGAAAGCTGTACTTAAATCTAGAAAGTTATTCAATGAAGTTACCGTTTCCAATAAAAAAAACATCGGGCTTTGGGTCAGGGCCCATTCAAATTTTGACAAAATTCTAACCTGAGACCACTGCGAATAGGGGAAGTCACAATTTCCAGGGTGAGGAAGATGAAGAACATGGAAAGGCAAGTGAAAAGAGTAAGTGGGTAATTTCAAATGATGAAATTTTGAGAGACCTGAGGCAGGAGATGAAAGGGTGCTACAGACAAAAGGGGCCAAAGTTATGACAGACAGGATGGGAATTGGGAATGGAATGAGTGAGATAGGGGAGGAAATTCGTGGTGGGATCTTAGGAAAGATTGCTGAATGAAGGGGTGGTTGAAGTTGGGGAGAGCCGAAAGATTGGAAACGTAGTATATGAAAATAAGCAAAAATACAAAATTAAAGCTAAATCCATAACTAATGAGGAAGAGGAAGCTGGGATTAGGGAAGATAGTCTGAATGAAGTGATCTTGGGTGAAACTCACAAAGTTGGAAGGATGATTGAAATCGAAAAGGTTGTGAATATACAAGTGGGGGATAGTAAGACATTGGGTCTGTGTTTTATTTTTTTTATCTTTTTTTTTTGGGGGGGGGTGTGAAGAGTTTGGAAGAAAGACATTCAAAGAATTAGATAGAAGCAGGAGCAAGGGATGTATGCAATGAAGGTGAAGAGAAAGAAGCAGATAAATTTGAATTAGATAGGATCAATGCCAGACATACAAATCTAATAGCTTGTATGAAAACACCAAATGCAGTAAGAAAATTTAGAAGACACAAAAATGTATAGATCAGTTCAGAAGCTGAATAGTGGCATAGAGGATGTGGTGGTTGGAAGATGCTTTCTAGTTTTTATGGTGTTGGACTGGTGTCATGGCTTGAAGTTGGGGCTTTTTTCTCTAGGGAGTTATTTCTAGAGGTCTCAATTGTTTATTTGACTTGGGGGAGTTTCTATTTGTTCCTTGACTTGATGAGTTTGTTTGTGGTTTATCATTGCTGGTTGAGTTGCTTAAGTTTGTGGATTGAGGCTTTGGTGGATAAGAAGTTGTTTTTCCTTTTTTTCTTAGGCTACTCCTGATCACCTTTCTTGTGACTTCATTTTTTTATTTTAATAAATTTTATTTTTACCTTCAAAAGTAAAGGGAACCTACTTGACACACCTATTTTCGGCTTATTTGAAATTTAAGGTATTCATAGATTGAACAGGATATTGCCCATTGTATCAAGAAGGCATGCCTAGGTGTTTGGTTTTTGCCCATTGTATCAGGAAGACACACCTATTTATTTTTCATGCATCATTAAGCTCCCCATTGTGTTTGGTTTTTGGTCAAACATCTTGACTAGCACTTGTGATTTAGAAGGCATGCCTAGGTGCACACGAGAGGTGCATTTTAAGCATATGCCTTGCCTAGGTCCATGCGTAACCCATGGTTTTTGAACCATCGTTGACCTGGATGGTCGGACCGTTCGGCCCGAGAACCTTCTAGGCAACTGGTTCCGTTTTACCCCAAACCTGGTCCCTGGCCAAAAACTGTTGAACCAGTCAATGACTTGTTGATCCGGACAGTCGAACCGTCGATCTGTCCAACGGTTTTTGGCCTTTTTTATTGTTAATTATTATTTTTTTTAATTTTTGTTGTTAGAACGGGTCATCCGTTCGAACCCTCCCTACAGGGGGGGTCTCAGAGTGAATGCAAGCGAGCCAGGTGGGAGTAGAAACCCCCCATTTTTGCTAGTGTTTTCTCATCCTTATTAATACAATGTATTTTTCAAAAGATAGAACTACAATTAAAATTATACAACAAATCTTTCTATATACAGGTTAAGAATTTTGCACCTTGAGATGGACTTGCTTGTGCTTGTCTCAAGGGGCTTAGTATAGAGGGCGACTCGTAGAATTAAGAATGCAAAATGTCTAACATCACATTAACTACTTATAAGTACTGGGATGCTGAATTATTAAGTGCTTAGATATGTTTTATATGCTACTAGTGTAGAGGCACGTGCTATCCATGAATGGAAGTAAAGAGTAAGGTATAAGTTTTATGTCCTGCACCAAAACCACCAAGGCAAGTATCTGCTTTTATATAGTATAGATAGATGTTTGGTTTTATATTTACATTTTTACTTTCAATATGTTTTATACGTCATGTTTATGCTGATGTTTAAAAACCAATCTGTAGGCTGAACCGTTTTTCCATCTGGGCTTTGGGTGATTTATTTTTAATTTTAGCTTATTATAAATTAAGAAAGCTAAAATTCATATTTGAGGTCAAAAGGATGTTTTTTGGGCAAAAATAGTCCAAAAATGCATAGAACACAGTTTTCTAAAACGAAGAAAAAAGAATCACCCTTATCTAACCACCGAGCACAAAGTAATGGCCTCTGAAGGGTTTTGCACATTATATGTATATAATAAATTAATAAATGTGCAGAAAATAGAATTATGTGTAATTATTGTTGTAGAAAATATACTTTCATAAATACATATTTCTTGGACCCTACTTGCATAGATAGATATGAGTATTATTAAAAAAATAAAACCTAAAAATAAAAAGTATATGATGTGATTATTTTCAATTCCCGGCAACGGAATAGCAATTATTTTACTTTACCTCCTCTAAAAAAATAGTATATAATTTAATTTGTGACCTGTGTCCCGTTGTTCAGGTCAAACAGGTTGGCAGTTTAACCACCCGGTACTAAGTCAACAGTTATTGACCAATTCCTGGGTTTGAGTTAAACTAGATTGGAATTGACATCAGGTGACGGTTTGAATACCACCTAGGTCAATGATGGTTTGAAAAACTGGTTTATGTATTTTAATTTAAGCCAGTAGACTTTGCAACTTGCTTGAAAAAAGCGCACCTCATCTTGCGCCTTACACCCTGGGGACCAAAAACCCTTTGCGCTTTTCATGCACCTTGTGCTTTTAAAGCATTGACCAGTAACACATTATTACCAACTTTATATTATAGGGCATTGAATTCAACTTCAAACACTTCGATGAAATCATGCAAAAGTATTAACCACCAATTGCACTTGCTAAGACTTTCTAAAAAAAATGCCAAAGGTTAGGACCATATCAAGTCGACCCCTCCCAAGACCCCAAATAGCTGGAACCAACATTGCATAATGACCTTTGTTTTTTTTCTTTCTGAGAAGCTTTCTAGCCTCAAAAGATAAACTCTTCCCATTTCCTGTCACTTCTGATAGAGTTTTGTCATTTGAAATGAGTTTTGGATAAGTTAACGGTAAGTATGTAAATCCATTGAAATTGTGCATAGTTCAATTTCGGAGTTAGGTGAATTAATTATTGCCTTCGCTTTCATTTCGTCTACCTTCTCTCTAACTTGGATTTCCTTTTCTTTCAGCTCCAGTCTGAATGTGGAGTTTCTGGATTCTTTGTCGGAGTCCGGATCACCTGCGATAATACATCCCAACACCCTCCCAACATGATCGGACACTGTGCGTCTCAATCTGGCGGGTCCCAGTCTCATGATGAGATGTACGGTGTCGAATCAGAGTCTGGATCTGCTCCTCACAGAGTGCACCTCACAGATTTCACAGTCCCATTGGGAACATCTGTCCTGTGTTATTCATGGGAAGATGTTCTCAATACACGGTGGGATGGATCTGTGAGGAGCAGATCCCAATTTGTCGAATCACGTTGGGAGGGTGTTGGAACGTGTTTTGTTGGCAGCCGATCCCAACTCATTTGGTTAAACTAACTTGTCCATCTCTTTATGTATGTACAGTTTTCGAAAACTCTGTGTAAATCAGAACCAGCAGACCAGGAGCAAAAAGATGTTGACAGATCTTGAGTAGGACTTGCATTCCTACATCCAATTGTGGCGGTTGGCTATTTCCTGTGAAGCTGGGAACAGAGTTTCATCTGCCGCTTTTGTGCTTTTTGTGGGAAATGTGTCGACATGAAAATTGTGAATAGCAGTTTAGCTTTTTTGGACAAGTTTTGTGGTTAGTCACGAATTTATGGTGGTTATTATATTCTTTGACAGTTATCTGTTGGGTGCTTGTTGAGTTGTCACATGGCCATTCACTATTGTCAGCAATGACAATTGGCAACCCAAATATGAACCAAAATACTTTGGAACCGATGGCAAATTGGGGACCCCAATTCTGGGCCTGCTTTTCAGAACTAGAACTTAGGCTATGTTTGGTTTGAAGGAATATGCAAGGAAAGGAAGGGAAATGTAAGGAAGCCTTTACAAACTTTGTACATGTTTCCCTGTCATTCCCTTCCTTTCCCTACCTTTTCCTTCAAACCAAACATAGCCTTAATGACTCTGCGCTATTTATAAGGAAGGGTTTCTTAATATAAAGAACGAACATAGCTAATGGATTTTGGTGTTCAAGATACACTTGACCCATTTTTGTTTGCTTGCACATGATTAACAGCTTCAGAATTTTGGCTTCTTCTTAGGTTTGACCCAAGGATCCAAGGATTGGATATTTGGATCATTATTGTTAAGCTCTTCATTCAATTCCAGATTGGTGATCTGCGCTAGTGCGCTTGGCTCGTGGATTGCAATGGAATTGTGACGTGTTTGTTACCTTACATGATGTGTCTGTAACGAGCCTGAAGCATATCCAAGTGGTATTGTGGTTCAGGATTACTGACTACTGAAATATTGAATTGGTGGGTTTGAGCGTTTGTAGCCATTGCCATCATTTCGGGATTCTTGATTTACTAGCTAACGTATGTTCTTAATATAAATAAAATTTAATATATATATATATATATATATATATATATA